CAATTGTCTGAGAAAGGGTTGCAAAACAGGCATCAATGTGAAACGCCCCTAGAATTTTTTATTTGAACAATTAAAAAAAAAGATTAACAAAAGAAATACTGAATAGTGTTTTTGCGTGACAATTTTATCATTCAAAGTCAAAGTCGTGTGAAAGTCACTTTCTGGGTCTGGGTTAGTGGCCTCTATATGAATGCCTTGTAACAATTGTATGCTATCAAAAGAAATACTCAATAGTGTTTTTGCGTGACAATTTTATCATTCAAAGGACCATTCTCGGTTTGGAGAACGAAGTTCATCAGTCTACAACACGTTACGCCTGCTTCAGACAATTCTGATATTTTTACATCTTGTAGATTTAAATTTCCTCTTTTGAACATTCATAATTTAATTTGGTGATATTTCTGTGTTTCATAAAAGATTATTAGACCAAGAGACGGTTCACCAAACCGAGACTCGTCCTTCATCACTGGTGATCCGCTCGATTACGCTGGTTACCGAAACGGTTCGTTTTGGTAACAAAATGTCGGAACGTCGAAGGTATGATTTTTCTTTTTCCCTTATTTCACGCGTTGTAGGCAGAATCCCCACGACGTTTTTTCTTACAAACGTGTATCAGTCTCATGTGTTTTAGAAAATGTACATGTTTCCGAAAAATAGCTCAGAAGACAACAGAATCGTCGACTTAATTCCTCACTTAAGTTACAGAAACGGGTTGGGTTAAAAGTGCAGATCTGATCTGAACTATTTTTTCGCAAATGTGTACATTTTCTTAAACATATGATACTGATACACATTTGCGTTAAAATGTGATGAGAATTCTGCCTACAACGTGTGAAATAAGGAAAAAGAAAAATCGTAGCTTCGATGTTCCGACATTTTGTTACCGAAACGAACCGTTTTTGCTACGAACATTTTTTCCAGTTGCCATTCCAGTAAAACGTACAATCAGGGTTTTCTTCAATTCCTCAGTCACATTTGATCTACGGCATCCATGGCGTCCGTAGCTTCCCCAAATCGAGAAAAATAGCAGCATAAACTACAGGGATAAGCAATATAATGCATAATTTCTTGATTGATTTTGTTGACCTACGGCCGTCGTACGGCCGCCGTTAAGCAAATATGTAATTTAGGCCTAACTAAAGTTCCGTCAAAGTAACTAGTTGTGGAACAGTGGTATTCGTCTAGCGATTTATTCGTTGAACTTTCTTTCAGAAATTGGCTACTCCCCACTCATTCAAAGACATGAATTAGCTTAACATTCTGTTATTTAGTTTTGAAGCATTTTAAGTCCCTTTCGTGCGAGTGTATATGTATTCAGTAATATTATATTTTTTGCAAAGGACCATTCTCGATTTGGAGATCATTCACCAGTCTACTGCACGTTTACATCTTGTAGATTTAATAAATGTCCTCTTTTGAATATTCATAGTTTAATTTGGGTGATATTTCTATATTTTTCGTAAAAGAATTATTAGCGCAGTACACTGATGAACTTCTTTCTCAAAATCGAGACGTTACACAGTCCTGCTTTGGACAATTTCGATATTTTTACATATTGTAGTTTTAAAAGTCCTCTTTTGAATATTCATAACTTAATTTTTCATGAAAAAAATTATTAGCCGGGGAGACAGTTCTCCAAACCGAGACTTGTCCCTTATGCATGCCCAGATCAGAATAAACAAACCAATAACATCTAGCCGAATGTCATATCTTCAATTATATTATGTATATGTTGAGAGAATTATCGAGTCACGGCATGCATTTTACTGAATGTTACCATATACTAGTATGCTAAAAATGATGGTAGTAATACTTTTTAAATAAAGAGGGCAGGGTAACCAATCGGTGTTCATGGAGTTCTTTCATTCTGCCATCCTTATGCCGGCTCAAAACCTATGTATATTGAATGTAAATAGGGAATTATTGTAAGTGAATAATATCACGGGGATAAGCAAAACGAGGGCGAAGCCACGGACTGCGACTCGCGTAATTCAAAACGAGGTTACAACGCATTATAGCTGAACAATGGCGGTAAGTCCAAACTTAATTTGGAAGGCATGTTAGGATTTGGGGTAGATTATTGGTTTGGATATTCTACAGAATAGCTAACTATGTTCCAGTCGGTGATCAACATATTCATACTCCACCTGCAATGGCATTCTTGGTGCTCGGCTGTCCAATAGTTTAGCATGAACTCAAATGGATTCGAAATCTGCCACAAAAAATGTAATTTTGTCAATATTTGTCCCTAATATACCGATTTAAACAAAGGAATCAGAAATGACATCGAATTAATATAATTATTCATGTTCTGTTGTTACAATTACATATTCGTGTGATATTTGGTAAGCGGAAAACGTACAATTACATAGAAAATTGGAATTTATAATAGTCGCAGTCCATCCATCTGCCCAACGCAGTCCGCGACTCAGTGTTGCTTTATATCTGAAGCTGAACGCAATCACAGCCAAAGGTAGATAGCACAATGTGTGTACAGGTGTGGCCGAAATGGAGCAACTTTGGACAAAATTGAATATAAAGGGCTATTTTAATAGACCTACATCGTGTCTCAATCCATTCTGCAAATATATACAAGCTGTCAAATACAGCTGAAATCATGAATTTATGGTAGCTAGCAATATTGATGGACTGTTGGAAAGATCATCCAAAATTACATTAACTCACCAACTCTCCAATTATTTGATATTTTCCTGATATCTTAAATACTAGTTAATGTACCCTTCCCCAACAGCTTTTATTGCATCATCAAAAAGTTAATTGTTTCGCATTTCTACTTCTTATAAAAGTCTCATCACTATCCAATTATCTATATATTTAACCCTATCCACAAATTGGTTTGTAATAAACATATTACGTTGTCATCTTGCGCTAGACTATTCTGCCAAATACGCATATTGAATTGCCATATTTCTAGGTCTTAAACGATACAATATAGCAATTTGGGACATTGATTCAGGTAATAGATATATGTTAATCAACGTAACTTTGAATGATCTTTCCAATGATATGTCACACTTAGTGATTTTTGGTGTAGGGGGGGGGGTGCGGGACTTATTTGGCACCCTTCTATGGAATGAATTATGATACATGCACGAGCGAACGTACAATACCAATCGAAGTTTCGTCTTGAGTCAATAAGAACAAAGCTCCATAACAGACGCTTTTGATTGTTAAAAGGCATAAACTACGTTTTGTGAAAAATTGGAAAAACATGATCTTTTTTGATTGGTTACAAACATACCGTATTTATTTTTTCCTAGGTCTATTTTTTATTTTAATCTTTTTCCTTGGTGCATTTTTAACATTGAATGGGGTTGATGGATTTGTTGTTCTGATTGGTGAGATGAAGGTTGATCTATTTGCAGTATTTGGTGAAGTAAATTCTGGATGACTTGATGGTACTGTAGACGATGATTTATTGTGTGATTTCCTTCTCTTTGATACGTATAGTGATAATCTGGATGCTGACTTTCTTTTCCTGAAACAATAATAGCGTAGGAATATAGTTTACACTATCTTATTTATTTCGTGTTCGCGGCTGGACTGCGTTGCTTAGAATATCAATGGAGGCTGTGTTGCGTTGTTGAAATAGCATTGTTTACTGGACTGCGTCCACTATGAATGCGCAGTTTGAATCTAATTTTCTCCTCATGAACACATTCTATTATCAAATCATTTTCACGAATTATACTCGGAGCCTCAACTAACCGTTAGATATCAGAAACGTGTTAAAACTCCTTTCAAATGTATAGTAAATTAGATAATATGCACATATTTTACAGGTAAAATCAGAGCTTTGCTACTGTTTTAGCTTGATCTGGACAACTGCTTATTTTCTTATCTACAGACCAACAGTAGATAGTAGATACAGAGTAATATTTTGGTCACCGATTAGACACTACGATAGCATTTAAAATACCTGGATTTCTCTATTTTGTCGGAAGAAGCAGAAGGCACTGCCGGATGTCCCTCCATTTTGGCGCTGGGCTGCGGTGTAAAGTTACGCAAGTCGCAGTCCGTGGCTTCGCCCTCGTTTTGCTTATCCTCCGTGAATATAGAGACAATGTTATGTTTTTATGTTTTTTATGTAATGCTTTTCTGCGATCGATTCGGTTTAAATTTGTACACCAAACGTCCAAAATATCAGGACCAGTTGATTTGCTTTTATTTTTACACTAAACTACAATAATTCCGCCACATAAGGTACACTATAGATTGGGGGCTTTTAGGGAAAATGAACTTAAATTGATATCTATCTAAATATATGTAGTTATTAAGTTATTGATCGTGCATGCGTTTTGATAATTAGAACCAATCAAACTGCTAGATTAGGGCTAACGCAACCAAATCATATAACATGCGTATTCCCATCTAAATGATTTGTCTTTCAGAGAAAACCAAGATTTGTGGACATGTTTTGCTATCATGCCATCATACTCCAGTATGTCCTCTGTTAGTCAAAAAGTTTAAACCAAAAATTCCCCTCGAAAATCAAAAGATCTCACCTCTAGAAAATGTCAAAAAATTGTCACTCTGATTTTGACAGATGGAGGCAGGTCAAAAAGGTCAAATTTCTTAAAGAAAATGCACCTCAATTAGATCACATCATGTCTTAGAGTTGGTCCTTCCATACACTTTCATTCATGTACTTACCAAAATTCAACCACTGGATTGGTGATCCTAATATAATAAAAATGCCATCTATTCATCTTCCCACTCGGCGGAAGGATCAATAAGTAAGTGAGTCCCCCGATTCAATGCGTATGCCCAAAAAGATCAAACAAAAATGTAACCTCAGATTATCAGATTCAGATTATACTCAGATTATCCCTGGCGTCAAAGTTCAATTGATCTTGAAATTATTACTTCCGTTATCACGCATGAATTGTTCAGTGCAAATTTCCCACTATATATCATCTGAACGTAAGCTTACAATCAAATAAATATGAATTATGTGATAACTCGAAATTTACTTTTTAAGGGCAAGTTTTGGACAAGGAGCATGCCGAGGCTCTCAAGACATTACCACATGACGCACCCTGGTATAGGATAGCCCTCGTGAAATATAGGAGGTTTGTAGGACCTGCAATAAGCGCAACTGTTGTGTATTTTCTCTGGCTGGCCTATATGATCAAGTGGAACATGTGGTACTTATTCGTGGAACGATATGAGATGTCAATTACCATGGTGTTTGGATCTCTCATTGCAGGTTAGTAAATATGAACATGTATACAGATGGACATAACGATAACAACAACAAAAACAACAACATATGCGAAGTACCTAGGAGGCTATTGTTCGTGGACGTGCAGTAATACAGTGCTAACCTCCACATATTTTAGGAGACTTAAGCAATGCATATAAAATCGAAACGCCAATCTGTTCGCATAAATCGACCTATTCTAATCCATGTAGTTTTCTCACATAAACAGTCGTTTTTGTTTGTCTTTATTTCATCGAGTTATATTCAATTGATAGTAATAAAGCTGGTTTTCTATATACATATTTTAAACAAGCTCGTTTCGTAAAATATGTGGAGCTAAAACGTGTATGACATACATCAAAACCAAAATGACATATGATTCCCGTTGACACCAACATGAAATTGCAAATCTCCCGTTCTAAACACAAAACTGAAGCTGATCTAGTATCTGGATTAGACTGCATAAGAAGCTCTTGTTTTGAATGCGCGCTATAAGCTCTGAAGCTGATCGAGTAATTGAAGCAGACTGAGTAGCGCTTGTTTTATATGCGCGCTATATACATTACTGTATTGGATCATTGACTTCGCGTTCACGGTTACGTTGTGAAAAATATCACTACCTTAAAGTCCCCATTGTCTGCTCAAGTGACTTGTATACAACTTGTAGATTGGTATTTTATTTCCAGGTATGACAAGCGTTGGAGGGGGAGTTGTGGCGTTCCCTGTCATGACACTCGTTCTTAACGTGACCCCAAACATCGCCAGGGATTTCAGTCTCATGGTCCAGTCTTGCGGAATGACAGCCGCCTCCTTTGTAATCTACTTCATGGGCATTCAAGTGGATTGGAACAGCCTCATCATTTGCTCAATCGGAGGTGTTTTTGGCGCTATCTTTGGTTTTGAGGTTGTCGATCAACATCTGTCTCCGCCAAGAAAAAAGTTCACGTTTACAGCATTTTGTTTTGCATTTGGATTCGCTTTGTTTCTTCTGAATAGATATCGTAATAGAAGAACATTTCTAACAGTTCCGTACTTGAACAAATGGAAAGGTCTTGTTTTATTTGTAACTTCACTCGTTGGGGGAATGTTTACTGCTATTGCCGGCAGTGGATTGGACATAGTCAGTTTCAGCGTCATGACATTACTGTTCCGTGTAACTGAAAAGACGGCAACTCCAACATCTGTTATACTCATGGGTATCAATACTGCATTTGCTACGTATTGGAGATCAGCAATACAATACGATGCTTCAACTGATGCATTTCATTACTTGTTAGTTTGCATCCCAATCGTTGTCATCGGAGCACCTATGGGATCTGTTATAGGTAGCTATCTACACCGCCTGGTTTTGGCTTCATTTGTTTACATCATCACTACTGCAGCGCTGATTGGCTCATTCGTAGTCATACGACCTTTGACCCCTGATCTGATTGGTCTAGCTGTGGGAATCGTTGTTGGCGGAGGCCTCATTTTCTTTCTGCTGACGCTGGCTGGAACCAAAATTTTGAAGCACGTGGAAGAACAAGAGAAAAAAGAAATCACAATGGGAAATAGTGATAGTTTACCAAATAGTGTACGGACTGACAAAATGTTCACAGTTGCAGACAATGATACTTCCCCGGTAGAGAATGGACATCCGAACAAAGCATTTCAAGAAATATGACCGGATCAAGAGCACACTGTGTCAAAATGTAATAATACACTATTACATTACCCTATTACTCTACTCTATGGATTCTGGACACCTGCTTTGGAGGATGATAAGCTGATGGGAAGTTTTTGACACTTGAGAAATTATGATTATAACTTTGTCAATTTAATACATACATATCTCTATGGAGAAAAGTTAGGTTGTTTCCCCTATTACGGCATCTAAAGTTGCATTCCTCGCACTTTTTATTCATCCTTAAAAAACCATGTGTACATGCGTTATTGCAAGCATTTTTAGACAGCCTCAACTTAAGTTCTAAGAATTATTTTACCACAAAAACAAATGGGTATTTTAGCCCCATGTGTTATCTTCAATAAGAGAAAATAGAATGAGAATAAAGTCAATTGCATTATCTCTTAATCTGTCCACCTCCCATCTATCCACCCACCATCACCGATTTCCCCAAATTATGACCCAATTTTATGAAAAGGTTTATGACTCATTTACAATGTACTGTAAAACATAATTTAACCCCAAAAAAGAAAAAAAGAAAACCATGGGGATTAAAGTACCGAAAACAATGAACTTTTTCGGCCTAAAATCAACTACATGCTATATTACATGATTACTTTCGAAAATGAAATGAATGATTATCATTCTATTGTCTCTTATCGAAGATAACACATATAGGGCTAAGCTAACATACCCATTTGTTTTGTCTCAATAATTATATTCATTTGAGACAGTATTGCTTGAATCCATTTTCAATTGTAAGAGTAGATGCTATTAAACAGGACATTCGGCGGCTTGCCTTTTACAACATTCTGTTGCATTAATAAGAGGGTTTTCGAGATGGTGTGTGTCTAAGTAAGGCCCATTTTTATGCCCACCCGGTATACTATTTAATTTGCATTGTTTCGACCGAACCTGTACTTTCTACTATGTTGCACACGCTCCTAATAACCTTGGTAGGAACCCAAAAATAATATTATTTAAGCATTAAACCCCGATAAAACATAAATAGGAAATAAAAGTTTTTGTTAACAAAGTCAAAGTTGACCCCCAGAAAAACATTGCTCTTAACCTTCAATGCCTTTTCCCATGTTTTTTTACCTTTAAATCATGGCATAAAAATAAACATAAACTATCATAATGACAAAATAACTCAGCTTTACTTTTGAACGTGTACATGTTCTTCTTTATACATTTTATTATATTCTCTGCTGACATGTTGTTATTGCTATAAAAGTTTAGGCCATGCCCTGATAATCAGTGGCCGTGCCGATAAATAAATGAATACATTTGAAATATACGATTAAGCTTTCTTAATCTTAAATGCATTCTCCAATATACGATCCAACAATGGACTATTGTTTATTCACATTTGAGAAAACTAAATTACCCTAGTCAAATACATTTGAAAGAAATAAATCTACAATTTAATCCAGGCGTAGAAAAGTATTTGCACTAGTTTTTATATTATTTACCATAAAAATAAGTTGATCTTGTCTTATAAGGGCAGTTTTTATTGGAAGTAAATGAGAGGCGTTAATATTTGAAGTGAGTGACCAACTTCCGAGCAAGGAGATCTACATGTGAAGTCTGACTATGGATTCAATGAATGGAACAAAAATCAAGAACCGAAGCAAAGAAATGCCTACATTTGAAAGTACCAGTCAGCTAGTAATTGAGGAAAATATTACAGGGAACAAATTAAATTGTTCAACGAAATGTGCAAAATGGTTTCGAAAGTTTTTTATGGAAGGTAAATAATTATGATATTCATAGAACGCCAACTATCTATGGGTGACATCAACAGAACATCGACAGAACTTTCAAAATAAGTCCTTTCTAAGCTTTGGGCTATAATAAGGGGGTTAAACTACGTCATTCTAAGATGCCGTGAACAAGAAAACTCACAACATAAACACATCAACATCAAAAATGATCATAAAATTCTAGTTTTCAATAATGTGGGGTTAACCAAAATTTATTCTTCAAAATCAAAATATTTCTTTAATTTTTAGTTAACCCGACATTATAGAATAACCAGATGGATGGCTGTCAATTTATAACAATTGAGTGTTCTCCCGACGTTCTAGGAACAAAATGAGCGTATTTCCAAGTAAGAAAACACTATCGCCCATTACCAAATAAGATTGGGCGTAAACAAGTAGTTCTAAAATGCCGAATTTACAACTACGCACTTTTTTAAGGGTTTTGGTTCGATATTAGGACAGATATGTAACAACTGTCCGACTGTCTGTCGTGGCTTTTTCAAAATTTCATCTGAAATATACCCAGTTTATATGAATATGAAGGTAGATTTTGAGACACCTTATAGCACTACTTTCTGGATATTCATTGCGAATTATTTCAAAATGAGGTATGAATGGAGATAAACGTGTGCGATGTCTCATTCCTTAACCAGAACAACGGCAACGCCAAAGCGTAGCGAATCCCATCGAACAGAAATGGCTGGCATTTTTACAAACGAAATATATAGCAAATATTATAAAACAACACACCAGAAAGGCCACCATTTCCAAAATGGTTGCTCACTAGCCAAATTGTCATCAGAAGAAATAATATCCTTTTTAGTAGCCACCTATAAAATTTTTGAAAAATCACACACAAGTACTTGTAAAATAACACACATAAAAATGGTGGCCATTTTTCAAAATGGCCGACTACTCCCCAAAGTTTTATGAGACAATGTGCCATGCTTAAAGTATTCACATATCAAATATGAACAAAATCGCTCCACTACTTTTCGAGTTATAGTAAAAAATGTAAAAATGACAGCCATTTTTTAAAATGGCCGCCTACTATCTGAAGTGTCATGAGACAGTGTGCAAGGCTCATGAGTATTCACATATCAAATATGAACAAAATCGCTTCACTACATTTCAAGTTATAGTAAAAAACGTAAAAATGGTGGCCATTTTTCAAAATGGCCGCCTACTACCCCAAGTGTCATTAGACAGTGTGCCATGCTTATAGTATTCACATATAAAATATGAAACATACCAAATATGAACAAAATCGCTCTACTACTTTTCAAGTTATAGTAAAATACGTTAAAATGGGGCCATTTTTCAAAATGGCCACCTTCTACCAAAAGTGTCATTAGACAGTGTACCATGCTTTTAGTATTCACATACCAAATATAAACAAAATCGCTCCACTACTTTTCGAGTTAAAGTAAAATACCTTAAAAAAGCGGCCATTTTTCAAAATGGCCACCTTCTACCAAAAGTGTCATTGGACAGTGTGCCATGCTTATAGTATTCACATACCAAATATGAACAAAATCGCTTCACTACTTTTCGAGTTATAGTAAAATACGTTAAAATGGCGGCCATTTATCAAAAAAAATTCAAAATGGCCGCCTTTTACCAAAAGTGTCATAGGACAGTGTGCCATGCTTATAGTATTCACATACCAAATATGAACAAAATTGCTCCACTACTTTTCGAGTTATAGTGAAATACGTTAAAATGGCGGCCATTTTCAAAATGGCCGCCTTCTACCAAAAATGTCTTAAGACAGTGTCCAATGCTTATAGTATTCACATACCAAATATGAACAAAATTGCTCCACTACTTTTCGAGTTACAGCAAAAATCGTAAAATAACGAGTAAAGGCCGCCATTTTTCAAGATGGCTGCCATGTGCTTCTTTAATATCTACATTTGTAGCTTTATTAATGTCCTTTATAATTTTTTTACATTTAAAACATATTGCTATTACAGTTTTACATATTGCACCTAAATTACTGTAAAATCGGCACTAAAATGGCCGCCATTTTGAAATAAGCGGCCATTTTGAAAATCGGCTTTCGAGCAGAACTTCTAGCACCATAGGGCATATGTGTACAGAATATGAACAAAATCGGGCCAACGGTATTTGAGTTATTGCCCGGACGGACGGACAGACGGATGGACGTACGGACGTACGGACTGACGTACGTACGTACGTACGGACGGACGGAGGCGTTTCCTATATCCCTCCGAACTTCGTTCGATGGGATAATAAAGTATTATCGCCCAAGAGAATCCATAGCTCAGAGTTGACCTTGACATTAACTTCCAGTACCATAAATTGTCGGCCTTCTAGTATATCATTTTACGTATAATCAAATCAACTTGTATTAAAATGAAACGAATTTTACTTTTTAAGGGCAAGTTTTGGACAAGGGGCATGCAGAAGCTCTCAAGACATTACCACATGACGCACCCTGGTATACGATAGCTCTCGTGAAATATAGGAGGTTTGTAGGACCTGCAATAAGCGCAACTGTTGTGTATTTTCTCTGGCTGGCGTATATGATCAAGTGGAACATGTGGCACTTATTTGTGGAACGATATGAGATGTCAATCACCATGGTGTTCGGATCTCTGATTGCAGGTAGTAAATGTTATATACATGATGTTCACAACAACTATATGTGCGGAATACTTAAGGACTTAAGCCTTGGACTCAGTACATTGTTTGCTGAATCATGCCATGAAGGTATTGTTTCCAAATTTTTGCATGACCGCGCAACGAGAATGCAAAGTTTAGGAAACAACACCAGAGTGGAATGATGCAGCTACAATGCATCGAGTCTTGGGCTTAAATTCTTTTCACACATTGCAAAATAGTTTCTACAAAATCACATAAAAGATACAAAATCACTAAAATATCTCAATTAAACCTTATGCAAGGGTCAAGTATTGGCAAAACATCAAAACATCTCCTCACCTTAGTAACCATACACAACAAATGCGTTATTGATTATTTCACGCACTGCTGTCACCATGGGCTTTCAATTATAGTTGAAAACCAATGCTGTCACTCAGAAATTTTCTGTCAGGATTGGCTGGAATTGGATACACCTTGACTAGCCATGTGTGAATTGTCTATATTTGACGTAACATTTAACGTCATTTCGTGTTATCGTGTTTATATGTAAGTCAATTTTGAAAAGCAAATTTTGCTTAATCTAGAGATATGACCAAACCTGAAAAA